ATATAATCGTTAATATAATCGATATAAGAATAAAACGTCCAATAATTGAACTACTATGTATGGTTGTTAAATGATATTTTAGTGATTTCTTTTTGTATCAGCCTGATGAAGGGTGTCAGACGCCCGAAACATAGCAATCGAATGTTCTAAAAAGGTCGACTAATTTATTCCTGGGGCCACCTAACCTCGACGAACTTTGTAGAATAGAAACTAGGTAGAAGGACGACTAACGCAAGGACATAAAATAAACTATCAATCATCAACAATATTTTAGACAATTTAATTAATTTTATTATGTTTACTATTTTGGCAGTTTTTTATACTTTTTTGTACGATTTTGAGGTTTTTATTGTACATTTTGAAGGTTTTTACTGCACGAAAATCCGGTCTTCAGTAATAAACAACGTCAATTTTAGAAAAGAATAAATAAAGACCCAGAAGACAAACAATTTTCAACATTTTAATAACTGAATTACATCATAATTATAACCACTAAATTCACAAAAAAAGTTAAGGAAAGAAACATATGTCTATGTCAGTTATATTTATGATTATGTATTTGTTATATATAATTTTCATAGGGAGCCCAATTATTTTATGTTTTTAAAAAATCGCAAATATACAGGAACTTGCTGATATTTCATACAGTTTCCTTAGATTTGTAATACTTTAACGAATTGGTTAATTTGAAGTTAAAAGAATAATTCAAAGTTAAAAATGGTTAATCTGATGTTTAAAAGGGTTAATTTGAAATTGAAAATGTTTAATTTGTTGCGAAAAATGGGTTATTTTTAAATTGAGTTGATTTGACAGGACATACAACAAAAATAGATATTTCATAAGTTTGAAATTCGGTCTGACGCGTTTCGACATTTCGCCATCTTCAGCGTGCCTGCGGTTGCCTCAAGAAAGGGTTCAGTTGAAATTAAAAAGCGTTAATGTGAAGTTAAACAGGGTTAATTTTAAGTTCAAAAATCTTCAATTTGAAGTCGAACAGGGTTAATTTGATAGAAAAATTTTCGGTTTTCCAACACAACTTCCGGTTTCACATAATTATTACCTTTATTAGATATCATGCTGAAATTAATTATTAATTGGTTTGAGTATTTTATTTGGTTTTTGTTCTGGTTTCGAAAATTATTCGGACCATTCTAATCCAGTTCCGTCCATAAAATTCAGAAAATCCATGTAATCGGACGCTTAAGAACCAATTTCCTAATCTTACAAATTTTAGGATGGTGTATTTTATATTCTTTCACTTTAAAAAAAAAATGCCGTTATTCATCCTTTCAATTTGCATGACAATCGCATTATCTAACTTTCACTTTTATATTTAACGTTCTCACTCGATTTATCACCTAGTAAATCCTAGGCTTCATAATTCCCAGCTTTGAAAACTTAATTTGAAAACAAAACACTCCTGATGTGCTGAAAGACTACCAAAACAATATAAAGGATTTCCTTCAAAAGGACGACGTTTTATCCTTTAATGGCAATATGAGCAAAAATATGCCACCAGTCCTCAGTTGATAATTTTTATTTAACGGAATGTTTGTTTTCGAAATTAATATGAAAACAACATAAACAGCCAAGATTCGCCGGATTACAATGATGAATAACTCAATCTCAGCTTAATTTTTGGTTATTTATAAGTTTGAAGGAATTTCCTTAAGTTTCTTTCGAATTGTAATTTTATTTGTTAACGCGTTTTAATGGTTTGACCTCTTTTTGAACACTCTAGTTTTGTTTTTGTATTATTTAGAGCTTTCATCTGATTTTAAAGAGTATTAAATTAATTTTAATTTTTTCTCTTAAGAAACATTCTTTTAAAATTCAGTGTTATTTTATTTAGTTCTAAGTTAAGTATATTTTTATCTATTGTTTATTTTTATTATCCTTTGCAACGACCTCTGGCAGATTTTATCCCTGTCTATATACTTTTTTATTTTTTTTTCTGTTTTTATTTGGACATTATTGTAAATAAAAGTATCCTTAAGTAAACAAAATAATGAAAATGTCAAGATTGAAGAGCACGGGGGGGGCGGTTGATCCATGTGAAATTGTAGAACTGACCAGAAATCCTCGAAAGAAAAAATAAGTAGGAAAAGTCTGGTGAAACCTAAAACTGGTCCACAATAAAAAATTATTCCAGTTTTCAAATATGGAGGAAAAAAATGTACGGAAATTATTATATCATTGGTAGTTTTTAATGAAATTAAACTATAAGGGTGTGTTTTCATTGTAGCTGGGTTGAATCTGAAATTATTTTGGTAGAATGAACAGTAACGACAGTTCAAAACTCAAGTAAAACCTGATTATTTTTTATTATTTTAAAACTTATATTTACCACTACAATTAGAACGAAATTTATCGTCAATTTATCTATAGGCAATACTTTTTTTTTATACAACACAACTGTGAATTTCAAGAACCAACGAATAATTTGGATCCCGGTATGGTCTGGATGAAAAACAAATTCAATTGTTACTTGCTGGTAAAAAATTGCTTTAAAAATCCAGAGACAGGTGTGTCCTAACCTCAGATTAAAAAAGTCTTAATGCATTTCAGTGATTATAGAGAACACATTTTTGAATATCTGAGAGTGGTGAATTCATATACCCTAATTTAATGTGCCATTTGACCATTCATGACTTATAATTATTGTATGCATTTATTAGCGAGAATTTTGGTTGAATGAGTTTAAATGAAAACAGGTCTCTCGATCCTAATACCTCGATGGCCTCTTACCTAGGTTTTAGTCATTGGTGATATGAATGAGGACCCTGGCTATTGGTGGAATATTGAGAACCCAATGCCATAACGTCTTAGCTGTAAATAGTTTAGTTTATATGTATACATTAGTGTGAAAGATTGACGAATAACGGTATTTGTCTACGGGAGTATGCATGGTGTTTTAGGCTATATAGGCTATAGGTAATTGTGTAAATGATGATCGGTTACCATCGGGATATAGAGTAAAATGGTAGCCCGTCATGTAGTTTGCTTGTTTTTTGTATGAATGGTATATTGATGCGAATAATTGATAGGTTAATTTGTGAAGGATGCAAGGGAATTGCCCCATGTCTAGGAAGGTAAAAAGTGCAGCGGAGAATAGAAGACTGAAAAATCATAAATGAGAGCAGACTATGACCTTGCTGTTGGTCGGGGGAAAAATTGTTACTGACTGCCTTACGACCTATTGTAACGTTATCATTAGAACACTATTTCAAATAAGTCTAAAAATTGACATATTTAAGTTTTTAATAGATGGTTTGGTTTCAAATTTCTTTGAACAGCGACTCAATCACAAGAACTGTTGGCACTAGTGATTTTGTTTTACGTTTTAGGGCTAAAAACGTCATTGGCCATCGCTAGCCTTCTGTCCTTTGGCTTTCTTATCTTTGTATTTAGTTTATCTTCCTCGCGACCTACTAATTTTAAACGTACTGGTTACTGGTTTCACAGCCAAGTTATGATGACTTGACCATGATGACTCCTCGGGGTAATTGGGGATCAGCCCCTTCAGTCGCACTAATAAATTTATTACATTCACCCCTATTGATACTAGTCTATTAGCAATAGAGTTACAGTGCTTGGCAATAATGAGTCTGAGTTTGAAAAAAAATTTGAAACCAACTTTAAACACTCAATGCCAATTTGTAGACATCTTTCAAATTGTTTTGCCCTGATGATGACCTTAGAAATAGGTCGAATGCTTGGCATTAACAACTAAATTGTTCTTCACCCAGACCATACCGAGATCCAGATTATTCGTGAGTTGAAAAGTGGTCGAAACAGCTAACACTTCAACTTATATGAACAAAAGCTGGGTTTTTTTCCGAGAACGCGAATCCTGAATTTATATCGCAAAATGATATGTGTTTATCAGAAAGATAAGCAACAGCGACAATATTAAAAAAAAACTATTTTGTTTAAATAAGGATCATAGAATTTTGGGGCAGATTGATCAGGAATGTTTTTTTCTCTCCCAATTAAAACATAATTTTTCCTAGTTTGGTTGTGACAACTTACTACATTAAGCTGACAACCGGAATAAACTTACAATTCACTCTAGTTCAATTATTCGAGACAGTTCTCACGAGATGGAGAGAAAGTTGAGCATTTCCCAGAAAAAATGAGAGCCTTAAAACATCATTTTAACCCCCCCCCCCCCAAGTTATATTAGTTTCATCTATTTCGCTCAAAGCCGGTACAATCTAAACGTTTCTGTTTACCATCCTCGATACAAAATTATTTCCACTCGTTAACAGAACGATTTAATTTAGAAAAACTATATCCCTTTCTGTATATTAATTAGTTTTGTCACTGAGATACCGTGCTATAGTGATTTAAAACGTTATCTCAGAAAAGTAATGGCTAACAGTAAAATTTTGTTTTACTGACATCCACCCTTATTTTTTTCCTGTGGGGTGTTAGATTGTTTCCCATGGGTCTTAACAATCAAATCTTTGGAATTAGGATAAAAGAAATTAGTTAAGTAAAGAATAGGCGCAAAATTAACCGTGTATGCATTGTTTTATGAAGCGTACGTAGAGAAATTGATAAGAATATCACAATGTATCATAAAAAACTGTAAGATTTCCTATTCAGAAGATAAATTTTCAATTTTATTTTAGGAAAATGTGTGTTGCAAACCAGGAAAACAATATTACTAGATTACGACCATTATTTAATGTTTTAAGTTTTCAAAAGGGAATGTTAAAAATGCACCTTAAATTAAAAAAAAAATGTTGCCATATTATATCCCTTAAGAAAACATAAAATACAAATAAACAGTCCGGTGACAACAACCCGTCGTTGTGTCCAATTTTGTTAATATTTTCATCTGGATTTTATACAGAGGTAACATTTGTTGTTCATGAAACAGGTATCAGGCTTTTTCTGAAATGATCGGCAAATATGTATAGTTTTTAGGTTTCTTCTGTTCCAACTATTATCTGTCATGTGATAAAAAAAAGTAGCAAAGTGCAGAAACCCACCTGTGTTGGGATGTTTTGCGTTTCCAAGAATTTGGTCGATGGTGTAGGTATTTCGAGGACGCGACGTGATAGTCAAAGTAGGACGTGATTGCTCCATGTTTTCACTGACACTGCCACGTAAGTAATGCCGAAGGTCCGGGTAACGACTGAAACGAGTGGAGGAGGCGACTGGTAAAAGGGACAAAGGGTAAAAGTTAACCGATGACAAGGGGGGTGAACGGCAGAGGGGGCACCGGAGGGACTCAACAGGGGGTGCACCAGGGGATCTACAGGGCGATTTGTGCGCCGGTCTGCAGAAGCCACACCTCTTCTCCCTCCGACGTCCCTCCCACGTGTCCCACGTGGTGGCTCCGGCCCAGAATCGAGATCCGCCTTTGGACAACATTGTCATTCATTCACCAGTTTTTTTTGTACCTACTACCCACACGGCAATACAAAACTTATTATTACTTCCTCAAAAAAAAAACCAAAGGATACACATATATTGCTAACACTGTTAAAACGTGCCATGTTATCATTTCAAACAGACAAAGGCCCTTTTGATATATTTCTTGAGTAAATGAAAAAAAAAAGAACTTTATTTACAGGCTTCCCAACTTGTTGAGCGAGTTAATTTTTTCTGAAAAGGATGGTTTTGAGACGAGAAGATCTCGCCCGGGCAGACGGTCGGGCCAACGATGGGGGTAGCGTTATGTAACCCAAGTCGTGGGTATGCCGCACTCTACCCATACACAATGGTCTTACAGCGATTAAGGGCTACCGGAAGTCTTGATCGAATAGAAATTAGTGGCCGATCGTGAGGTACGACAGCTAGAGACGATCTTTTATAGATCTTCCGTCATTTAATAGCTTCCTTGATAGGTAGTCAACGCCAAACGGTCCGAAATATAAGCGCTATAAAACAGTCATCTTAAGACTTCGTGGGAATAGTATGGTCTCGTGGGACAGTCTCAAGACGTCCCGCATCAAGTTCCCTACTACTGGAGAGGCGTCGAGTAGAAAGGCGACTATTCGCAAATCACCATCTTGTTTGGATACTATAACGATTGGAGGCTTTTGCACAGATGATATTACTTTTTTTCCTTCTTCTCGGGAAAAAAAATAATAAAGCTTAAATAGTGGCGGGACGAACCTAGAAGAGAAGCGCGAGAAGCAGGAAGCAATTCGCGGCCTGCAAGATCCTGATCGGGAGGGCACTGGGTCCGAGATTATTAAAAAAAAACAAAAAAAAAACAAGGAGAGTCAGTTCGATATAGACGTTCCGAGGAAGAGGTGGTCTCCGCGAGGAAAGAAAATATTCTTTAAAAAAGTGTATGTGTTTGTGTGGCTTGTGATCCTAGTCGTGCTGATCGGAGAGTTCATACGAAGAGAAAGGGGCTGATCCCGGCAAGTGAAGAGTGTCCCGTGAGTTGGTTCATTTCCAATTTCTTATCAGGCCTGATAATTCCGGACTAGAGACATTAGCTATAAGTTCGGCCTTTTGTTAGCTTTTAATTTAAAAGAATTTGTCTATGTACTTGTAAATAGAATAGTTGTGATTAGTATTCATTTTTTTTTTAATCGTAGTTTTAAACCCTTAGTAAGCTAAATACCTTAAGATATCTTTCTTGTGTTAACGAATTAACTCGGATAGAAGCAGGAAGAACTTCATAATTTAGCCCCCACCATAACCCTGGTGGGTGGAAGCGCCATCAGAAAGAAGAGAGCGAGAAGCGCTACATCGGTCGTCTAGGGCCTGACACGGAAACCGTATCTGTCCTTCCTTTTCCCTATTCTTTCTATTGTTCTACCCTTCTTTTCCTTTTTTTCCCCTGGTTTCGGTATTTATCCTTCTCCAAAAATATCGTGGCGCTCAACATAACACCTGTAAATAACTTTCACCTCTTCACCGACCATCACTTGTCTCTCCCTTCAACACGTTCCCCCCCTTTTCCACTGAGCTACAGCCAACGTACGTGCAGCCACAGTAAGGAAGCTGTAACAATGACTGCCGGTTTGGTCAGATGCCCGTCGTCCAGAGGTCGTGGACGCTTTGTTTGATGTGCCATGCGCGAGTCACAGCCTTTTGAAAGATATGATATGGAGTGGAATCAAGGTTCCAGCCCGTAACCGAATTGATTATCATACAGAATGGATCTTTGCACTAAGGAAGTTCTTCTGGAAGCTGTGGTCCTATTCGTTACATTTATAGGAGGCAACTTCGTGTTAATGCATGATAATGCGCGACCGCATGTAGTCACCCATTACTTCGAGGATATAGGAATTACCACAATGAAGGATTTGTTTTGTCAGTTTAACCACTTTTAAGTTTTACTATGACACAAATACGTTTAGTTCAATTTGAAAGACCAATATATATATTTCCGTAATGAGTATGGTTGCTCATATTTGGGTTGGGTTGTTTCTGGGCAAAACAGAAAACGGTTAGTTGATCTTGGAGAACCTCCTTTGACCAGAACGTCTGCTTATTTGTTACCGAAATTTCATTTGTGCCATGGCACTTAAGATATTGTCTGATTGGTACGTTTTCCCAGATTTTGGAAGTTTTGGATGTATTCACAAACTATTTTGGGTGTTATATTTTTACGTGATAACGCTTTTAGAGTCCCTTGGCTGTCTAATTGTATGAGGATTTGTTTTCTCAGTGTAACCTCTTACACGTTTTTCTATCGCACAAGCATTGGTAACATGTATTTCAGCTTGAAAGACCGAGGTTTACATCCCTAATGAGTTTGATTGCTCATATTTGGGATTGTACAGAAAACGCCCGATCCAGATCCGTCATTCATTTTGCAGCCATCTGTACATTAGGGGTATTCACGATCTTTGTGTTAACCCTGTTTAGGTCGTGTTAGATCGAGAAAAATGATGACGTAGACTTGTAAGAATCGGCTAGTTAACATTGCTCGATCTAACAGGCCAGGGCCAATGTTAGATGTTAAGTCGAAAATATAGTCACATTGATATACGTTAGGGCGTAGGGGACCAACATGGCAGCCATGAATTTAACAGCTGTTTTTTGTTTACGCGTATTTTTATTCTTAAATACGCATTAATTCAATCAGACCAATACATTTCTTTTGCTAATATCAGTCCTGTACTTATACTCTCATTCATAGTAGGTACATCTACATATCCTATAAAGTTGTAGGCTGTTAGACGTCAGGTACAAGTTAGGTACGTCGGCACGAATTGAAGCGTGTTATTTGTTAGTACTTTTCGAGTGCATCTAACAGGCGATCATTTCATTTTTAATGAAAGAGTTGATTAATTTTCCTTTTTAACTTTTGGTATCTTACAATTTAACACAAAAGAAAACCAAAACAAACACAACAAGCCTTCAAGGACTGTTATAGCTTTATTTTTGGTTCTACCAATCGCCACGCGCAGCATTGCGGTTAGTTTCTATCTAATTTAATTTTTTAAGCCTAATTCATCTTTTTCTCGCTTCTCCTGGTAGGCTTAGCAGTATTTCTTGTGATACATAGGTTTGACAGTCTTTATGAGAGGTACAGAATTATTCCGCGCACCCTGTTGCACTCCCACTCCCACTGCACTGACGGAATAGCGGCGAACAGGGAAAAGCATGCCTACTTTCAAAGATAAAAACGCACAAAAATAAATGGAACAGAGATGAAATAATTGTCATAGCAAATAATAATCTAAACGACAACTCAACAGAATCCTCCACATCCATCTATTAACAAGAAAGAAATACAACTGCTGCAGAAAATGACTGTCTTCCCTAACATAATATAAAACGAGATAGAGCATGTAATTAAAAGTATCAAAAGAGAGACGGCAACAGACACGACAATATTAGCAATGAGATATTACACTTCTTCCCAACTAGATGGTAGCTTGGAACCAAAACAACAACTTGAAAGTGATATAATACTTATACCTAAAAGAGAGGATGCTTCAGATATAAGAAACTAAAAGAAATAAATAAGAAAGGATGAGGATATGTGGTCTACAACGCGAAGCACCTCCTCTGTTTAAGAGTGTTGAAAGCGAAAGCCGAATTGTTGGTTATAACGTTGGAGGATTAATGCTCGTAAATAATAAAAAATTATTAATAGCCGTTAAGAAAAAAAAAATTTTACATTAAAAAAACAAAAAAACGTGATTAACGGTACTTATGTCAATGAAATAAAAGGGAAAAGAGAATATTTTCTTATAATTAAAATTTAGTTTGAATAATTAAGTCTAAAGTATTTCATGTTCTTTTCTTCTACACATGCATATAATAATGTAATAAACCTTGTTTGATTGGGCGCCAGACGACGAACAATTCCATACAGTTTTGAGTCTTTTAACAGGTCGCACACCTTTTTTTTTTAAAAGACAAAATGCGACGAACAAGTCCCTCCGATCAAGCGTGGTTCCACTCTCCGCTTAGGGGTGTCGGCAGAAGCCTCCTCAATCGTCTGTCTAGAACTCTCTGCCTTCTTTACGTTGTGGATAGCGTTTTGGCGGCCTTTACGAAATGCTTGTCATATGGTCTGGGAGAAGGTTGAAAGAACTAAGTGCAACTATCAATCGTTTTAGAAGAATCTTCTCGAATATTTTTGAGAAGAGCGAGAGACATTACATATATATTATTATCTTGAACTTAACATCAAACAAAAGATAAAACTGCACAATTGGAAGTCAATAAGCCTTTCTTTCACTTAAAATTTACTGACCTTTTTAAAGTTTTTTCAAGTAAATATTTTTTCGTATAATAACTATATTATTTTGTCCAATGTGTGGTCTTTAGTGACCATTAATTAATGATTATTTGGAGATCGTCATCGTCAGAGCGATAGCTTTTTCCAGTCAAATTAACCCTTTTTAACTTCAAATTAACCTTTTTTTAATTTAATTTTTTTTTAATTAACCTTTGTAGTTGTAAGTAAGGACTTTTTTTATGTTTCATATAAATGAACACACAGTTTGATGTGAAACTAAAACATCTCACGATCTCCAAATAATCATAAATTTTATCCAATCTCGAAAATATCTGGGTGAGGTTCATAAGGAGGACGTTGTTTACGTCTCATAAGAAATTATAGCTTTTTCCGTCAATTAACCGTTTCTAACTTCAAATCAACCTTTTATAATTTCAAATCAAAGCATTTAACCTAAAATT